CTCCTTCCAGGGAGCACAGTTTTGGTGCCATGTGAGAAGAACTGCGTGGGGAATGAAGAGGGAAGCAAACACAGTGTGGAGTTGCTGAGTACATTGCTCCCAGGTTTTTGTGGATCTGGGATAACGTGGAATAGCATTTTAAAATAAACCTGGTGTCCCTGCCCACGGCAGGGGGTTGGAATGAGATGATCTTTAGTGCCCTTCCAATCCAAACCACTCTGGGATTCTGGATTTTAGGATGGGTTGTTTGTGATAGGGATGATTAGGAAGTTTATTAAAATAATAATTAAAGACCATCTCAAGGATTTTTTTTGGCTGAGGAAGGCACCACAACTGGCCACCAGACAGACAATTTGAATCACTTTTCTTGTGGCTTTGTGTGCTTTTATTACAAATTGTGAATGCAGGAATGCACCACGTTCTCCTCACCAACCTGCTCAACTAAAACCCACGGATTCCTCTGGAATTCAACAATTTAGGCTCAGTCTCCAGAAGGGATCAGTGTTATCGCTGTCAGCAGGCAGTTCAAGCATAATTTCTGCTGAATTACTCTCTCCAGCAGTGGGATGTTTTATCTGTCTCTTTGTCAGCTCTGGAGAGATATCGCTGTGTTTTATTTGCTGATGGCCTTGATACACAGAAATGTATTCAACTGATCCCCAAGTTAAATTTCTGTACTCATGGATATCTCCTCTTTCTTTTCTCTTGTCTGTTTGCAGGAGAGAATAATGAATATAATAACAAAATGGGCATGAACAACCAATTACTATTGGTTGGAAAGAGACTTTGGGCTTGTTGTAGATTCTGTGTTTATTCATAGAGAAATACACCAAAATTAGAGATTTTACTGAATTCCCTCTTCTTCCTTCTCCCAGGAAGTAACTAACCAGACCAAAACTACTTGACGTGTTATTAACTTTTAAAATACAGTTCTGAATTCACACCCCTGCTTGAATGGGTTTGTCTTGGGCATCAGAGAGCCCCTGTTCCAGCTTTTAAAAAGTCATTTACACCATGGTTGGGCTTTATAAGCTTTGACCTCACTAAAATTGTTCTAAGCACTGCGATCACAACCTTGAGATGAGAATTGGAAAAAAAATGGAAGAGGAGAGAAGGGCAGCTGTGAAACAAGCAGAGAAGGTGGGCAAGAGCACAAAACAAATAACTCCTTTTTTTGTGGGCTTGTTACAATTCCTCCTTGCTCAGACCAGATGGAAAGAGCTTCCTCTGCTTTTGTTTTTAAACTGGTTTAATTTGGTAACTACGTGGGCTTTATTTATAGGCTTGCTCCAGCAATCATGGGCAGGCAAAAATAACAGCAGCAACCTGCTTCTGTTGCCCAAGGATGGCACAAACACGAGTCAAAGCTGGCGTTTCTGAGATGTTTAACAATTATTTTTGATATGGGCTGACTCTGAGACCAGGTATCAGCAACTCTGGGGAGTGGGACATGGTAGAGCTCCAGCACTTCCCTGCCAGGACAGAAATCTCTTGTAACGATTTAGAAGTTTGGATCTACACCTGAACGTAGCAAGACTTGAAGGTGTCAGGTCATTTTAATCCATCTTTGTTTAATTCAGACTTTGAAAATGGCCCTTACTCCTCTACACTCCTCTGTATCAAAGCCAGTGGATTTAGCTGGAAAAACTGGACTAAGAACAGGGTCGATGTCTTGTGCCACTAAAGGGGGAGAAAAAGAGGCAAAGAGGAAGCCAAATGTTGCTGTTTGATCACTGAATTGTTATTTTTACAGCAGTTCTCTTTGCCTGGGGGACTGTGCTGGGATGTCTTAATGGGAAGCAGTTTTCAGGCACTGATCACCCGGATACAGAGCAAAGGTATGAACAGGGTGAACTGTTCTCAGGAGTGTAAAGGGATCACTTTTCTGCCTCAATGTAGTAAAACTGGAGTAAACACCTTCAAATGGGGATGTGCCACTACAATAAGGGAATGCTCTGAGCACATTCTGTGTGGTCAATAACAATTTCAAATCGAGTGTCAGTATCCAGGGAGTCGTACCTGTGTGTGTTCAGAGGTTATTCAGGATTTTCTTACCAAGCACCAGTTTTCAGAAGGCTGAATGTGGAGCTCTCACTGAATTTACCACTCTGAGATGATTTTTTTTCCCTTAAAATATGTTCACGATTTCATTTTCATAAAGCCTATTTAATTTGCGAGCTGATTGGTAAAAATACAAGGGAGTACTGGGCTATAAAATAGATTTGCTGCTTACATGTTTTTTAATATGTTAGACAAATTTTCAGCAGTTCTTTAAACTGTGCCTGTCATAAAGCAGAATATAAGAGCTTTTTATTAATAGCTAGTTCAGATAATCACGTGAATTTTTTATGGTCTCAGATATTCTAGATTTACTGTCATTTCCTCAAGTGGGCATGAATTATGGGACTGTACATCCCTAGTTCTCCCTGTCCTGTGCTTGGATAAGGAATGGCCTTGAGACATCCCAGCTCAGGAGCTCTGTGGAGGTGTCCTTACATTTTAGCAGGGATTTTTGGCAAGCTCACAGGTTTCCCTGACTGGTTTCCACATCAGTCACGGCAAAGGACTGGCATGGCTAAGTTTGCTTTTAAATCCTCCAGAAGCAAACATTAGTGTTGGTGTTTCCTTGCCTTCTGTACAATCCCCGGCTGAGTTGGGATTTTTGGATTCCCAGGCAGTGTCCTGGTGGTGACCAGTGGTGTCTGCTCACTGGTGGTGCTGGGCTGGGAGGTGACGCCGCTCCGTGACTCGGCATCGGGCAGCTCCTGAACCACATCTGCCTTCCCTGTGTTCCTCTCCACTGAACTTAGCAGTCTTTTTTCTGAGTTACTGATACCTAGATTAGAATATAGAATATGCTGTGTGTGCCCCTCGTGCAGAACTGCTGTGTGTGTGTGCAGTGGTTATCTGGGGAAAAGGCAGCGAGGATCTTACGAGCTCCTTGTTTGTGAGCTCAGTTAATACAAGGGTGCACTGAATGCTAAGTGCTGGCCCTCTTGATAAGGAACTGAGCACTTTCTCTTGTGGTGCTCCTGCCCAGCTGGGTTTTTATGTGTCAGTCCCAGGGAAAAGCACTGATCCCATCCAGGATTAGAGTTATCTCCAGCATCTCGTTAAAAACACACATCGTTAATAATGATGGAATCCTAAAGAAACATCATTTTTCATCAAGGGCATCGTGACATCCTTATAGAAAAGCCCTAAAAAAAAAGCTGATTTACTATCAGCTTTCCCCATCATGTGAAGGGAGGATGCTGTCAGTGCAACAGCACCTTAAACTCTGGGGCAGGAATTTTATTTTAGAACTGTTGGAATTAGAACAATTCAGTCTGAGTCTCTGGATTAGCAATCTGTATTATGGATTTCTCCTGGAATAAGGGGCCCTATGCCACCACTGTATAGCAGAATATCACCCTCCAGGTTATAAATTAGTAATACCTGAGCGCTGAGATATTTTCATCTAAATATGAATTTTTAATGCCAGGAGAAAAAACCAGCTTTTAACTTAGAACTGTTATTTGTACTCGGAGGGAACAGATCATCATAGTCCAGCCAGCCAGGCACGAGCAGGCTGGTGGAACACCAAGAGTGAGGAGATCTGCTCCTCTCCCTGATTTCCTGTTTTTACTATTGCTCTGTTGGCTCGGAATTTAACATGAAATTAATCCCAGTCCATGGCTAGGACACAGTTGCATATCATGTGATTATTTTTATTTATTAATTTATTTATTTGAGCTAGGAGTTTTTCCATCGAGAAGCCAGATTTTAACCTTGATACATGCAGCATTCCTGGCAGCCCGGTAAATCCGAGCACGATCCGACATGTAAGCAAAGGGAATAAATTCCCAGTTTCTATCAGACGTGACCTGTTACTGGTTTGCCTTTCCTCAGCACTTGCCGGCATTCAGCTGGGGGAAAAAGAAATGATTCTCCGAGGCTGGGAAAAACAGGTCTTCCCAGATTTGCCGCTTTTAGAGCCTAATGAGTTAAATTTTCCTCCGTGCAGGATTTTAAGCTGCTTAGACACACAAGGTCAAAGCAAAGCGCTCCATTCCCTATTCCGACTCGGGGCTGACAGGGGGGCACAGCTCCCTTGGGACAGAGCCCTCGGGAGACGGCGACATAAGCAGGGAATCTATTCCCTGAATCTATTCCCTGCTTCCAGCAGTGCAAGATGTCCCTGTCGTGGCGGGGCTGGCGGCCCCCCCGGCTCCTCCAGGCACATCCCATGGAACTGCAGTCCTGCATCCCCTCGCTGCCGTAACTCTCCGTAAACACGGCATTAAGTACAGGCGCTGAGGTCACGGCACAGGGTTTTTACCAGCGAGGGAGGCAAGATGGAATTGCAGAGCGGGAAGCTCGGGATGCTTTGCAGGATGCGAGGGCTGTGACTTTGGGGATGCTTCCCTGCTACCTTTCGTCCCGTTTTCCTCCGGCGTTCGCACGGCATCCCCGATTTCGGTGATGGAGATGGGGGGACTCGGGTGTGTTAAATCGGGAGAACCCTGCACGGTTCACTGAGCAGCAGCAGCTTCAGTCCCCGAGGAGGATTTTTGGGTTGGTTGGGCTTTTAATGAAGTGCTGTACTGCAAGTTCAAGGATGAACACATCCCGTGTTCCTCCATCGCCGCTGTACGGACACTTCATTAGGACGGCTGAAGTTAATAAGCGGCGGTAGTTCCTCGCCATCAGCCATGTGAAAAGCCAAAGCACTTCGTGCATCCTCTCCGAAAATCCTCCAGCGACCCCTCTCCCTTCCCAGGCACCGCTGGAAGGGGAGCAGGCAAAGAAACGCCGCTATTTTTCTATAAGAAAGTCGCGTATCGAGATATTCTCTCCTTATCTGTCACCAAAGTTATTGGATGCAGGAGCTGTTCCCAGGCAGGCAGATACGCTATTGCATAACGCTGGCGCTCAGCGCCAGCCAGAAACCTCATCCCTACGAAGTTTTAGCGCACGGGGCTATTTCGGGGTGTCGGGGCGAGCGCTCAGCGCCTTACCTTGTGCTTCCTCACGCAGAAGCGGCGGTCTGGGCGAGCATCTCCCTCCAGCCGCCGGGGCGAGCTGGGCGTCAGCGCCTGAGAGCCGGGGCGCATCTGCCGCGGAGCCGCCGAGCCGCCGGAGGAGCCGCAGCCGCCGCCGCCGCCGCCGCCGCCGCCGCGCTCCCCCGCTGCCCTCATGGGCTGCGGCGGGGGCTCGCTGTCCGGGGGTCCCCTCGGCCCGGGTCCCCACCGAGGGGAACTTGTTGAGCGGGACCGGCGGGCGTCCCCCAGCCGGGCGGGAGCGGGGAGGAGGAGCCGGGGGCCGGGCTGGCGGCGGGGGCGGGCGGGGGAGGTGGGGATGGAGCGATGCTCGGCGGCCGCGCACAAGGAGGGGAGAAAGCGCGGAGCTGACGCTCGCTGGGAGCTCTCTCCGTTATTGCTGTGGTTCCTCTGCGCGGGGGTTCATTAACAGCAGAGCCGGGCACACCATCCCCGGCTTTCCAGGCGCGCTACGGGAGCACTGGAGCAGCCGCAGAGTGGGGGATGCTGATCCATTGGGAATTTCAGCGAAGCGCTGGGTTAAAGCTACACGGCTGCCTTTTATTGCGAGGGAAAGTGTTTAAGGTGCTAAAGGAGTAGCTGCTCCCATTTGCTTTTAAACCTTGTCTAAAATGGACGCGAGTTCAGTGCGAAGCAGTTTGGCAGAGGGCATTGATAAACGTGATAATCTGCGTAAAACTTGAATCCCATCTTTCCTCCTTTTCTCTCATTTTACAGAGGGCTTAGCAATGATGTTTTCACTTAAAAAAAAAAAAAAAAAGTCGGGAGTTAAATAGGTCGTGTGTATTTAACCTGAGTGATAAACAGAAAATGCCATGACAGGCACAAGAATCGGTCCGAGTTGGGAAGCGTTGGGTTTGTGTTTCATTCTGATATTCCCAGGAGTTTTGTTGTTCAATAAATACTTTCCTGCAGGAAACTCCCCTAGCCCAGGTGCCAGCAGGTATGGACCACGGAGTTCCTTTGTCACAGCACTGCCTTCACCACTGATGCCCATGAGGGTTTTTGATTTTGGGGGTTCCTGAAACCACCCCTGATTTGAAATGGCCGATGAGAGCGGCTGGACCAGCCCAAAATGTTCCACCACGACCCCCACGCCACAGCAGGCAGGGACAGCCGAGCTGGGCATGGATGAGTGCAGGCACCCACGGACACGATGCAGCAGCAGCACTGGCTCGAGTCCTGGCTGCTTTTGGAGTTAATTAAGCCGGAGCAGGAATTGCAGCACGGAATTGGCGGTGCTGGGATCCGCGTGGCTCTGGCTGTCACACTCTGGCGTGGGGATGGAGGCACGGAGAGCCAGCCCTGGGCTGTGCAGGATGGATCAGAGCAGTGCTAACAAAGCAGGCAGTCAGCAGAGGGCAGCTCCGTTGTTCTCCCTGCCTGCTACCTGGCCAGGTACTCCCATTGCCTCTTCCCTCTGTTCCTTATCTCTGCCTCTGAGCCCTAAACCGGGGTGCCAGGGCTGTGCCCTCCACATCACCTGCTGCTCTGCCCTGTGACACATTTAGCTTTCATCGCATTTAGCACTCTCATGGTATTTTATCAGAGATTTTTATTTTTTTTTCCCCAAAGAACTTAAATATCGACCAGCTTATTGATGCAACAGCAACCACCACGCTGTTGTTTTTTTTTCTTTCTGTTTTTCTTTCCAGCAGAAAGTGCTGGACTTTTCCAGTGCTGACTTGCTGTATTCCAGGTCCTCTGTGAATTTCTCTCTACAAAAATAAATGTGGTTTTGGCTGCAGCCTGGATACAGACGTGGGTAAAATTACATGGTAGGGTGACCACGTCTGAAATAATGCAGGCTACTTCCTCAGAGCAAACAGATCAGTGGTAGGAGATGCTGCTGCTTTTTCACAAGCTGAAAATGTGAGTTTATCCAGCCCATGATTACTGGAAGGAAATACTATAACTCGATATCCTGAGTGACTTGAAAGGAGAATCTCTCTGACAGAAGCAGCAGTTAAACATCATTCTTGTCTTCTCCATAATGATATTTAGAAGCTGTTGTCTCAGGGCTGATTAGTCTTGCACAGCATTATGCATATGTCCCACTTACAAACTGTACAGCATCTTCTGGAGGTTTTTAGGGAATTAAAAAGTACTTTCTGATGTGGACCAGATTCATGTATAACTGCTGACACCGTTGGTGTATACAGGGATCTTTTAAATCAGGCTTTGTGAAAAATAAAGTGTTTTGTGATTATCATGCTTGATGTTACTGTAACAGCACATAGAAGTAAATACACTGGGAAAGTGGAAATGCTTCATCATCCCGTTTGTCAATTTTTTAGCCCTTGAAAATGCTGAGCACAACTGTTGCATAATGAAATGTGGTGCTGAAGAGATGCTTGAGAGGGGAGAGAGGGGTTGGGTTTCAGCCTGGGAGGGTGCAGAGAAAGGAGGCAATTAACTGTAGTTGGTTTGGATTATAAATTTCTCTCTCATGAAGTGTCCTACCTTCCCAGATTGGCCTTTTCTCCCTGTGTCTGTCAGGGAGGAGTGAGCACTGCTAGGGAAGTCCAAGTGGAAGTCCTGCCTTGGACTTCTGGGGGGAGTGGGCAAACCAGGGATTGGAGAGCAGTGAGATGGAGTTTTAGTGGCATTCTCTGTGGAGGAGTACAGTAAGGGGCCCTGCTCCCTCACTGCTAATTGCATCATAAATTCAGAGAGGTACCTGTGTGTGTATTTGCAAATATTCCTCACACACAGCCTGCTCTTACAGACTTCAGGTTTTACTTGATGTTTTTTCTTACATTCCATTTCTGAGGACACATGTGGATGTCTGTGGGAGGGTCAGCCTGACATGTCCTCCCCACACTCAGGTTTTGGTTCAAGGATTGCCCCGGTGAATGCTGTGCCTGAGGGGATTTTTTGCTGAGCAGTGCTTTGTAGGATTATGCTCCTCTGATAGTGGAACACTAAAATGTAATTTTCTGGAACAGTCTGTGAAGCTCTTGTAGAGGAAAGCTCACTTGCAGCTCAGGGAAAAGCAGGTGGAAGCCAGAGCTCGAGTTACCTGCCAGGTGTTCTGGTGACCACCAGTGTGGGGAAGAAGGATGATAAACCAGCACCAATGGGATTTTCAGATCTACATTGAGTAAATAATGTTAGGAGGCATAATTTAAGACCCAACACTGAGTTTTAACATGCCTGGGCTGGGTTCCCAGGGATATTAATTCTTTAGGGCCAGGTTGATTTATGGCAGAACTTCCCACCTGCTGGACATGAAAGAAGGGTGAAGTTCTCTTGGCTTGAAGCAGAGCTGTGGACAAAGTTGTGCCTTTACTCTCTGTAGACACTTGGAACCAGTTCTGTCTCTGTTAAAACCAACTATTCTCACTTTGCTCAACCTTTATTCCCATTAATTAAGTGGTTATTTTCATGCCTTTAGATGATAACTACTATTAAATTGGTGATTTATTTATTTATTTCCTCCAAGCTGTCATTGGAAAAGAAATGGAGGGATGTTAAATATGCTAAATATGCTCCTGTGCTCCTGCAAAGGTGAAGGCAAACTTGGCTGGAATTTCAAACAGGTCTTCATGCAGTCAAATCTTTGGAGGTGCTCCTTGCTTTGGGGGAGGATATTTCCTGCTTGGCTGTGATGCAGAAAAATAAGGTCTCTTGGAGTCATGTTTGGCAGAAATTTGGGAGATTTGCTGGAGTGTCTTGCTCCACGAGCTTGGAAAATTCATTTGAGTCTATGCTGATGTCTGTTCTTTATGTGTAAAGTGCTAATTCCACATCTCTTTACTTAAAGGAACATTTTGGAGATAAAATGGATTTAAGAATATGTGTCTAATACCCATAATACCTGTGTGCAGCTGAAATATTAAACAGCTGATTGAGGGAACTGCTCTTTGTGGGTTTTCTGCTTGGAAAAGAAAAATGCTGAGTAACCTCATTAGCTCTGATGGTTATTTCTGTGCTTCGTTGGGATAAGAATGAGCAGGATTTAGTTCTCTCTCTCAATTTCCCATTGCACAGATCATTGGAAGAAAAATATAACAGCAGGTCTCACCAGCTAAAGCTGAGATTTTGGGTTCCAGTTGAATGCTGTCTCATCAGGAGCCCAAATTGCTGGAGATGTTTATCAAGAAAATCTAAATTTTCTTGGGATAGGAGTGGGAGTTTTGTCATATTTTCACTGCGTTTATAGTTCAGAAAAGTTCCTTTTCAGCACACAGATGTTTTTGGGGAGGGAACTAAACTGGTGAACGGTTGTTCTTCCAAGGATGGGCATTCTGAGCTGCTCTCTCCTGATGTGGAATCACTTCCCTGATAAAGATGTTCTCAGTAGATGCCAAATTCTGGTTCCATTTTCATGCAGCCTGTACAGTTGGGAAATAAATGAAGGTTTGGGAGAACGTGATGTATGAGCCCCTAAATGGCTGCATTTTGTTCATATTTGAAAGGCAGTTCAGGCTGTCGTCATTACTGATGACTTGTGCTTTTAGAGGCCTTTTTTTCTGCATTTCACAAATCCTTTGTGCCCATCTGAATAATAAATCACCCTGTTTGATTTGCTCACTGAGAGCAAATGGGAAATTACATCCTTGTTAAGATGTCTTGAGGAACTGGAAGTGTGGGGTAATGCTTTTAAAGGAACATTCTGTCAACTTTGTTAATATTTTGCTTTGTCTTGTTTATTTTATGACCTTCCCAAAATTCCAGGGTTTTCTCTCTGACTGCTTTATGGCAAAGGGAAAAAATCCTGCCCTGTTTAAAAATAAAATATAACAAATCTGGTCGTACTTTTGATTGCCTTTAGACAAATGGTTTCAGATTTAAGCACCTAATGAAATGTGGGATGAGCATGAATTCCATCTTCAAACTTAAATTATGGGCAGAAAAAAAGGCAAATCCAACAAATAATGGGGATACTTGCATCTGATTCCTATTTGCTCTTTAGTGGGATAATATATTATTTATACAACATTGATTACATTAGATGGAGGATTTAATGCAACTTTTCTGTCAAACT